CGTTATACCCAAACATATTACACAACCATGCTCTTGACAATATTCTCACTTACGACCATAATCATCATTTTCAAAAAATTTCTTTCTCTGATTTATATTTACCATCTTCTACTGCCGCATACAAATAAACATCGCTGGCAAACTTGGCTTTTTCTCTTGGGAATCCGATATGGTTATCTAGTATTTCTTTGGCATTTTCCCCCGAGTGATTTTTTTTGAGAGGGCTGGCTAAGATTTCTGCTAATTTTTTTCTTTCTTGATCTTTATTATTCATACTTAATTATTATTTTAGAGTTTAGATTTTTTTAACTAATCACCTTTTAAATCCACTAATAGTAAACATAAAATCTTTATTTTTCTGATAAGTATCTTTTAACAACTCTTTGCAACTTTTTAACCCTTTACCATCCAATATTCATAAGAAATTTATCTCGTTTTTTTGGGCTTTTTGTAATACTCCACTATAAGAACGAATTACCTCCTGAACTTTACTGCCCGCTGTATTAAAAAAACTGGTTTCTAAGTAATATTCTTTATTTCTGCACTTAATTTGAAAATCAAATAACTTTTTGCCATTAACTTGGAAATTTACGGGGACTTGCTTGTGATATTCTATTTGTTGCTTAATTAGCAAGTTTTCAACCGCTTTTTCCATAGTTTTACCGCCGATATTTTTGCGACCATGAGTTCCTAAATCCACTTCTATTCCCAGACAGTAATCTTTTAAATCTTTTATCTTTCCGTTAGTTAAATATTCGGCTAAACCGGAATTAAAAAGTAGTTTTTTTACTTTTTGCTTCGCTGAAACTCCGTTTTCAAGGCTCAAATTATCCCAATACTCCATCCTGCCTTGCTCTAACCAAGCCAAATTTTCCCCATCTCGCACTGCTAATAAATAAGGTAAGATTTGAAAACTTTGCGGGCTTTCCGTCCAAATTTTTTCTATCTTATTTTCTAACTCTCCTCTATTAGCACAAATTAAATTATTTAAAATACTTAAATCTTTTTCATAAGTAGTTAAATTAACTTTAATATTCTCTCAATTAACTAACTGACTTAAATCAATATTGGTTCTCTGAATGCTATCAAACCAACGATAAAACTCCAATTCTTTTTTTTGTTGTTCGGTTAATTGATAATTACCAATAAAAATTTCTTGAGCCCCCTCAACCCTTTTGTCCCCTTGACAGTTAATAAATCGTTGGGCTTTTTGAGTGAATTGCCAGTAATCCTTATATAAATCTTTAATAAATTCTGTGGTATGATTAGTTAATAATCATTTCGCTCCTTGTTTTTCAGCCTTTTTTAAGAATTGCGCTAATTCTTGTTGATTTTGACGAGTAAATTTATTCACGGCATAGGAATTAAAGCCATTGCCATTCTGCTTCACCAAAAGACCACTTATTAAAATAGTCTTTTCACTATCGTAAGGTGGATCCACAAACAAGAAATCATTCTCTTTAATTAGAGGTAATAATTGCTGATAATCTCGATTGAGTATTTGGCAATCATTTTTACTAAGATATTCGCTAATGGCTAAAATATTTTCTTTGTCAAATAATTTCACCTTTTCTTTTTGCCCCCAGGGAACATTAAATTCTCCTTGACTATTTACGCGGTATAAGCCATTATAACCAGTTTTGTTTAAGTAGATAAAACGAGTTGCTATTTCTAAATCTGAGAGATTTTTAAGTTCTTCTTTCTTTAATTGTTGGTAAAACTCTGGGCTGTGTTTTTTTTCATATTCGGTTAATAATTTGATTAGTCCTGTCGGATTTTCCTTGATTACTTGATAAGAAGTAATAAGTTCTTGATTGATATCATTAATGATTGCTTTGTTAGGCTGAACATTTAAAAAGGCAGCTCCTCCTCCCACAAATGGTTCAATAAATCTCTCGTAAGAATCCGGCAAAAGTAAATTAATTATCTCTAAAAATTGAGTTTTGCCTCCGGCTCATTTAACAAAAGGTTTCAATTTCATATTGGCTAAATTTTCTCTATTCATACCTTAACGTATTCTTATTTAATTTTTAATAACAAATCTGGTTCAACTAAATACTAAACCAGCGGACGCGGCCAGCATAATCAAGCCCAATATTCAAGTTTTCTTGATAAACTGCTTGTAAGAGGTTTGTCCTTTCTCCAAACTGGCCCGCAATATCCCATTGTTGGGTGAAAAGGCCATTCCCATAATGGCTCCTATTCAGGCAAAAAGAGCGGCGTAAATGAGAGTTGATTCACCAAAAGCCAGCAAAGTAGGGGCAAAAGCGGCTATCAAAGTAGTAGCAATAGATGTGGTACTTCCAACCACAAAGGTAATTAGGAAGGAAAGTCCAAAAGAGGAATACAAGGCTAACGAAGCAGCCGCCGTCTGAGCCGTGTTAGGCAAAAGTTTTTCGGCGAGATTTTCTGCCATACCCGAATTTTTTATTATGGTAGCCGGAACAGCCGCAAAAATGTAAATTAAGAGCAAAGGAATGGAATCTTGCATGGCCGTTATTAGATTTTTCATAATACTTTGTTTGGCTAGCAGACAAATAATTATTCCCCCAATAATCAATCAGCAATTAACCGCTTGTTCCTCTCACTTGCCAAAAGTGCCTCAATTTTTTACTTCTTCCTCTTTGATCCTAGTCACTTTCATTTCTTCAATCGTTCCTAACTTTTCGTACTCTTCTTTTGTTTCAACATTGCTTATATATTCTGGAACCTTGGCGGCAACCCCGTCCAATTTTTTAGCCACTGCGGGTATTTGAGCCACAAAACTACCCACCAAAAAAAATCCGGCTACTGCCAATATTATTTTTCTGGTCCTATTAAGGCGAGGTGGGGAGGACTCTTTGCTTAAATTGTCCGAAACAGAGGTGGGTGCTTGCTGGTGGCGACTACAATACCAGATATTAAAGAGAATAATAATTGAAACGAAAAGAGTAAATGAGGCTAAGCGAAAACCCATCCCCGTCGCACCGGTATAGTTAACCTTACCTTCAACCCCGCTAAAACAGGATTTAAAGTGGTCTTTCATCCTTTCCGTCGAGACTAAACCTAACAGTCCGGCCACCGAGCCGCCATAAAGACAAAGGGCTGAGGAAAAAAAATCAAATCCTATCGCCAGCAAGAGTGGAATAACTAAGGGATAGAAGTGAATTAATTCGTCAAATCAGGACAAATTAGAACTTAGCAGAGCCGCACAAATAGTAATTAATCCAATAGTAAAATATTTTCTTTTTTGTAATCATTTCCGCTTGGAAGCAAAAAGGGCTTGAAAGGCCTGACTTTGTAAAATAGCGTGTAAAAAAAAGGCGAACGCAAAAATTGATAATCCTTGACCTGTAAATTTTTCCCCAGCCGTTTTCAGAAAATAAGGAAAAATATCGGTTATTCCTGATTTAGTTTTTGCTAAATTGGGAATTCAAGTTAAAAATATGGTTAAAATACTGATTGCAAAAGTTATCAAAAAAAACATAAAAATTTGTAAAGTTGATTAAAAATAGTTGATGCGAAGCTTTGTTCTAAAAATTGATTTGTTGTAAAAGATTTTGTATTTTCCGCCACTTCCAAGTGGCTTGATTAAAGAATAATTTTTTTTGATTTGGATAAATATTTCCTGAAAATTCATATTTTATTAATATTATTTTATACTTATTAGCATTATACCCTAAATAAAATAATAAATATGCCTCAACCTTGTTTTTTTACTGGCATTCAAGCCAGCGGCACCCTCACTTTGGGAAATTATTTGGGTGTAATTTGCCATATTTTAGAAATACAAGATGAGTACGAGATAATTATTATGATTTGTGATTTACATGCCTTAACCATTCCCAAACCGAACTTTAATTATCGGGAAATCGGCCACGAAATCGCTGCTTTATTATACGCTTGCGGGCTAAAAGAGGAAAAATGTAAAATATTCATTCAGTCGGAGATAAAAGAACATGTCGAACTGGCTTATTTACTTTCTCCACATATTACGGTTAGTGTTTTATCTAATATGATTCAATATAAGGAGAAAAAAAGAGAGCAAGAATCTGGAAATTTGGCTTTGCTGACTTATCCAGTTTTAATGGCAGCGGATATTTTTCTCTACGATGCGGACTTGGTTATTGTCGGTCAAGACCAGACCCAGCACCTCGAATTAGCCACTAATATCGCCCAAAAATTCAATAATTTTTACAACAAAAATCTGCTAAAAATCCCGAAATTTACTATCCCTCATTTGGGAGCTAAAATAATGGGCTTAAAAAACCCACAAAAAAAAATGTCAAAAAGTGAAAATGATTTTCTGGCTCTGTTAGACGACTCGCAAACTATCACTAAAAAAATTAAAGAAGCGGAAACTGATAGTGAAAATAAAATCTATTATGATCCGGCCAAAAAACCAGGTATTTCCAACTTCTTAACTATTTATGCTTTGTTAAGTAAGCAAGAAATAAAAGAAGCCGAAAAAGAATTACAAAATCTCAACTATCACCAATTTAAACTCAAACTTATTGATTTACTTAATGAAAAATTGGGAAAAATCCAAAAAAAATATATTGATTATCAACCCAGAATTAAAGAAATATTGAAAAAAAATACTGAATACTTAAAAATTTTAGCCACCCAAAAACTGAACTTAATCAAAAAAGAAATAAAATTTAATTAATAATGTATGGTCGAAAAATATCTCAAATATAGAAATAAATTTAGCCTTAAAAAGCCTTGTGAAAAAAATGTTTTTGAAAATGATGATTATGGTCGTAAGTGAGAATATTGTCAAGAGCATGGTTGTGTAATATGTTTGGGTATAACG